CCCCCCCCCCCCGGAAAAAAAACCGGGTGTCACGCCAGGTCCCTGCAAAAGGGGAGAGCCGGGAAAAAGGCGCTTGGAAGTGGGAAAGCAAAGGGTTCGGGAGGGCCCGGACAGGGAGGGCCCGTTGAGGAGGGCCCCGGCCTCCGCTGGAATAAACCGGAAGGGCGGCATTTTATGGGGGTTTATGGAGAGATCTTAGGCAACCCCCGTGCTGTAGGCAAGGTCGCCCCCAGCCGGGCAATTTTATTAGGGGCCCCGGGAACTGAGCAGGGAGAGGGCTGCGCCCCAGTCCCTTAGCGCCTGAACAGGACAGGAAGCCCTCCAGGGCCTCTGGACGGTGCCCAAAGGGGGTGACACAGCCAGCGAGTTTCGAAACGGCGCTGGCATTTCTTCACCTTTTCTATGGGCCTCCGCAAGCTCTTTGTGTAAACATGTCAGACAGGTGACTTTAGGCAGCCTCTTGTCCGTCCTCAGCACCACCCACCAGGTCACGGGGCATGGCTGGTGCCCGGTGACCTCTGTGTCCCACAGGACTTGGGCCCTGACCGGGGTCAGCCACGCCGAGCCCCTCTGCCCCAGCTGGGGGTGGGGTGGCCGCTTCCATGCTCAGCCCACGCCCTGCCCACACTCTGCCTCTACCTCCTCCTCGGCAAGTTTCTTTCCTTGTTTCGGTTGCAAATGATGAGTATGTATGACTTAGAAACTTGGGGAAATTGTTTTTAAGAAAGAAAGAAAAAGGCCCTGGCCGGGTAGCTCAGTTGGTTAGAGCATCATCCAGATGCACCAAGGTTGTGGGTTCCATCCCTGGTCAGGGCACATACAAGAATCAACCAATGAATGCATAAATAAGATGAACAACCCGATGTTTCTCTCTCTCTCTCTCTCTCTCTCTCTCTCTCTCTATATATATATATATATATATATATAATCAATTAAGTTATTTAAAAACAAGGGAAGAAAAATTCAGGTTGTAACGTACTCAGTAACTAGCGACAGGCCAGGAGACTGCTGCCTGACCTGAGGGCTGATGTTCAGGCTCAGCTTTTCCCTTTTTGGCGCCCTTCAGAGCGGCGCTGTGTGCCTTCTGGGTGCGTCACAGCAGAGCGATCAATCGATTGCTCGCTCTGCCTCATTAATGGTCGGCTGGACGGGCTGGCCTGGTCCCTGCGCGACCACATTCCCCACGCGCTTTCGCCTAACAAGTCCAGCAGCTGGTGATCAGGCTCGTGGCCTGGATTTATTATTTCACCAGGGCTTCCGAAGAGGCGACTTTCAAATGCAATGACTTCTCCTGCATTTAGTCACCGTGTTCTCCTCTGACGAGCTTTCCCCCATCAATCATGTGGTTTCCCTGAAGCACAATCCAAACAGAAAAAGGCCGGATAAATGCCAGGGAAGGAAGCCGCAAGTGTAAGGCAACCAGGTCCAGACTCCACTGGATTCTACACAGCAGACGGCTAATTCTCCAATAAATGGCATTTTTTAAATATATATATATATTTTATTGATTTCCAATGGCATTTTTTTTTTATAAAAAGAAAGAAAACCGGAAGACAGACTGTTAGAGGTGAACAGAGACTTGGGATCTGTGATCCGGGTGCAATGTGTGAACTTCGGGGGCCTGATCTGAGCTGCCAGTTGTGAACACTCGGCTTGTTTATTTGTTTTTGAGGCAACTGGGGGACGTGAACATGGACAAGATATGAGATTATACGAAGAAATAGCCATTATTTTTGTTGGGTGTGATTGTGGTGGTGGGAGAGATACATGCTGAGGTATTTATGAGTAAAATGAGACAATGTCCTATATTTGCTTTAAAATACACCAGGGCTACAACACCACCTTTGATGGCTGCATAATATTCTACCGAGTAAATATACCATACTTTCTTTAACCAATAATCAATGTACAATGTATTCATAAGAGCAAAGAATTAAAACAATATAAATGTCCAATGGTCACATGAATTAGGTCACACATCTAATCTATAAAATATTATATAGCCAAACACTATACCTAGAAAAATTTGAAGACGTGGGGAAATGCTTATGATATAATATGAAGCCAAAATAACCAGCTCCAACATAGTATGACATCAAACATAGGAAGGAAAATGGCACAGGGACAGCCATATGGGAAGCAAAGGATGGGAGGACCTGAGTTTTAAAGAGCAACCTTCAACTCTGGAAGCCAGAGATTCTTTCAGGCTGCTTTTATTCTCCCCTTGTGTCCTCTTTCTTTCTTTTTTTAAAATATATTGTATTGATTTTTTACAGAGAGGAAGGGAGAGGGATAGAGAGTTAGAAACATCAATGAGAGAGAAGCATCGATCAGCTGCCTCCTGCACACCCCCTACTGGGGATGTGCCTGCAACCATGGTACATGCCCTTGACCAGAATCGAACCCGGGACTCTTCAGTCCCCAGGCCGACGCTCTATCCACTGAGCCAAACCAGCTTGGGCTATTTCTCTTTTTTTAAAAAAATATATTTTTATTGATTTCAGAGAGGAAGGGAGAGAGAGAGAGAGGGAGAAAGAGAGAGAGAGGAGAGAGAGAGAGAAAGATCAATGATGAAATAGAATCATTGATCGGCTGCCTCCTGCACGCCCCCTACTGGGGATCAAGCCGGCAACCCAGGCATGTGCCCCTGACTGGAATCGAACCCAGGACCCTTCAGTCCGCAGGCTGACACTCTATCCACTGAGCCACACCAGCCAGGGCTGTCCTCTTTCTCTGACCCTGACTTCCGGGATGGTGAGTCCAGCCCCACCCTCTCTCAGCCTTGGTTTGCTCATCTATGAACCAGCTATAATAAGACTCAGATTAAGGGCAGGTGGGCAGATTCAAAGATTTAAGCAAACCTGGTATGAGGCCTGGACATGTGGGCCTTCAGAAATGAATGGTTTCCCTCCACTCTTGCCCAATGCCTGTGGCAGATCGGCTCTGAGCCCAGTCACATGTTCCCATGGGCCCTTGAACTTGTGGGATGATTGGGAGGAATGTTATCCCCGTGAGGGACACTGCTCGGTCAGACACCAGGCCCAGTCCCAACCGAGTCACCACTCAGGACCCAGAGTGCAAAAGCGTGTGAGGCCCCGGCTTACCCTTCTGCTGCTCGAGCTCCCCAAGGACCAGGTACAGGGAGCCCACCTGGGCCTGGAACGGCTCCACCAGCTTGGTACAGACGAGGACCTGGTGCTGCTCAGACCCGTGCTGAGCTGTCAGGGTCGCTCGGGACTCGGTCATGTCGTAGAGGCTCAACCTGGAAGTCAGGGAAAGTGCGATCGTCTCTCTCCTTAGACACAACCGCCATGGAGCTTAGAGCTTACCAGGTTTTGGGAGGAAAAAACGGTCAGCCTTACTGTGATCAGACAAAATAAAAATGGCAGCAACAAATCAGAAAAACTGTTGAGGTATAAATTACATGCATCAAAGGACACTTGTCCAACGAGTCTTGATGAAAATACACACTTGGTGTAACCACCACCCGAGTCAGATTTAGTCATTTTCTTATCACCCCAAGGTTCCCTGGAGT